GTAAGTCACGAGGTGCCCCTGCTAGAGGCATCGGGCCACCCCTACTATAGCTGGGGAAACAGCTGACCAGCATTGCTTCGAGGTTAACTTTGCCTAAATTACATTTAGCCACATTTAAACTCATCACCGATAGATGAGCTTGGGCGTTGGTGCCTACAAAGTTGGTGGAGCCGGGCAATGCTCTAGCATGAGGAGGAGGTATCCATGGCAACCCTGCGAGCGGCCCCCACCCAACCAGGATCTCCTTGGTGCTTGAAAAAGGAGGGGCCAGTGAACAAGGATGAAATGGAACCTCCGACTCCAGCAACCCCAAGTACCAAGCGTAGCAGTTGCATCGAAAAACAGACACACTTACCAAATGAAAGCAGCTGACAGTGAGAGCAACGCCAAAAACGGCAGTGCAAGCCCCGAACAATTCGGTGCTAAACTGGACCGCAATGCAGAAGGAGCTGGGAATAACCAACGGCAAGGACACACGATGTCAAGCCAGCTGACCAGAGAAGCCTGCAAGAGCTTCCGAAGGCGTGCGAATATAAAGCAGGTATGCATTGCTAGTCCAACGTCCAAGAGCCTGAATCAGGTGGTCAGGAATGCCGTTGCAAGCTGCTACCGTGGCTGCCCCAATGCGGAAGCTGTGGCTGGAGAAATTGCCCTCAATCCCTGCGGTAGAGAAGATTTGCCGCAGCCAATCGGTCAAGATTGCGCGAGACAGAGGTTGACCATTCGCAAGAAGGAACAACAGGCCAGGGACATTTCCTCGTACGGAGAGGTATGTCAGCAAAGCTTGAACTGCGCAGAGGGGTGCCCTTCCCAGACCAATATGGATGTGGCAGCCTTGACGGGACGGATCCGTTTTCGATGCTTTTATCCTAACACGGGGGCAGGTTGGCGACTGGTGCGAATCCACTGTGATGTCAGCCACTGAAAGATGAATAGCTGAAGAAAAGCTGGCTAAATTGGGGACTGCAAATTCAACAGCACGGAGAAAACCAAAATAACCCAACATGCAGGCTGCCCAAAAGGCGCAATGATCAGAAAACTTGAGGTCGAACGCCCGATGAATGACCAAGAGAAGGCTGTCAGTAATCGGAAGGCGCTGAGCAGCCGGGGAACCCTGGGAACGCTTGACCCCTCTCAACACTCGTTGAAGCTGCAAGCAATTAAGCAAAGGGTCGGGAAAACCTTGCTCAATGTGCAAGGAGCGAACTGCAGATAAATAAACTTTAATTGAAGAATGCTGAATCGAATCTGCAAAAATGAAACAAACAAACATAAAGTCCACTCGTCTGCAGGGAAGGCGAGCCATTGGAGTGGAGCTTTCCAGCTTGGCGGCAAAATTCGACGAACTTGCGTTGACCTGACGCATAAGCTTTCCGGGTGGAAGGAGCCAGACCCTGGGCCAGGAAATGCAAGCACCGTTGTTCGGAAAGGGGACGAATGAGCCTCCGGGGCCAGCTGCCTGAACTCCTGCCAACGGAAACGAGAGGCAGCATCAGCACTTTTGTTCTCAACTCCAGGAACATGAGCAGCAGTGAAAGTAAAACCCCAACGCGCCGCCGAGAGCAGAAGATCACGGAGAAGGTGCATTAAAGCTGGAACCTTCGAAGTCCTGGTCGTGAGAATCGCGACTACAGCCTCGTTATCTGAGCGAAAAAGGACATGCTTCCTGGCCCACAAAGATCCCCAAAGATGAGCAGCAATCACCACAGGAAAGAGTTCTTGGTATGCAATAGATTGCCTGGCCTGCACCGTTGACCAGGCACCATAAAACCACTGGCCTTGAGAATAGGCGCCAAAGCCAATCGCACCTGCTGCATCCGAAGTGACCTCCAAATCTGTGGCAGCAGACATGCCAGGGTACAACCAGAACCCAACGCCATGCCAATAAGATAGAAATTGCTGCCACCACTGAAGGTCAAGACGAAAATTCCCGGTTAATCCGAACAGGATGGTCCTTGTTACGGAAGCAGCACAGTAAATCAATAAACCAACGGAGAAAGGCTCTCCCTGGCCAAACTACTTTAGCAGCATGGTGTAAATGGCCAATAAGGGACTCCAATTCCCGCTTTCTGCACCAGCGACGAGGCATCCACAAATGAATGAGTTCCCTTAGTGTAAGCAATTTGTCCTCAGGAAGACAGGCCACTTGGTTGACGGAGTCTAACTCAATTCCTAGGATAGTCATAGAAGTGGCTGGACCCACACATTTGTTAGTGTGAAGAGGCAACCCCAGCCGATGGCAAACAGAGATTGCTGTGTTAAGATTATAAGCACACTGGAATGACTGTGGAGGACCTGCGGAAATAAAGTCATCCAAATAAATTAACAGATCGGAAAGGTGGTGCAGAACGGAGACCGAAAGGAAGCGAGAGGTCAACGTAGAACTGACCACGCCACCTCATGCCCAGTAAGAAGCGGTCATCTGGATGAACTGGGATGTTCCGATAAGCGGATTGCACATCAAATTTTGCCATAAGGGCACCTGGGCCATAACGGGAGACCATGCGAATAACTTGATCAACCTTAATATACTGGAGAGAAAAATCCTGAGGATCAATGCCGTCGTTAACACTACCACCCCCTGGGGAAGACAAATCGACTATCAAGCGCCATTTGCCTGGCTGGCCCTTCTTAGGAATGACCCCGAAACTGGTGACATGCAAACGAGGAAAAGGAGGGGAGGCGAAGGGGCCTGCAACCCTGCCCAGAGAGACTTCATTAGCCAGATACGCATCGACAATGTGGGCATGGTGAAGAGCAGAGGGCTTGTTTCTTTTAGCTGGCTTAAGCCTGTGAGCTGAGTGGACGCCTAACCGAAAGCCATGCTGGAGACCCTGGAGGACATAAGAAACTTGTTGCTGGTCGGGATGACTGGCCAATTCCTTTGAAAACTCCTCCACCTTAAGGGGACTAACTGCTGATACAGGAGAGAGAACTGGATGAGCTGGGAAGAAAAAAAGGCTATTTTAAAAATAAGGCCGAGCCAGGCTGGGAAGGGGGGGAGGGAAGGGGGGCCAAACCAAAGAGAGAACTATTGGACAACAAACCAAAAACTCAAACAACTTGACAACTTTATTGCAGCAAATACGGCCCGACCTAGCTACTGTTGACAAAACTTAGGTAATGCAACTTAAGGAGCAATTCGATGACTAGAGGTCAGGAAACATGGAGAAAAAACTAAAGGCAATCAACGCAGCTTAAAAACAAGGCAGAAAAACAATCAGGAAAACAAACAAGGCGCATGCATTAACGCCTGGTTTTCGAGGTGGACGAGGGCACGGAGGGAGGAGAAGCCGATCTGCGTTTGCGATCGTGTGACGACGTTTTGTCAAAACGACGGGAGCATTCTGACGCACGGTGGGAACCTGCGCAGGTGCTGCAGCGATAGGCAAACCGACACGAAGCAAATTGTGCCGAACAGCGGCCCCTGTTCCACGACCGGCAGATGACCTGGGAGGAGTCAGCTCCAGATGGTTCGGGTAGCTCGCTCAAGGAACCACCAGACCCAGAACGCACAGAGGCCCCAGCAGCATGAAAATTGTAAAGCTGAACGTTCATGGTCGACCAGTCCACGAGCTTCGTCGCCGCAGCGTGCTGGCGGAAGGCCTGATCGTATGCCAGCCAAACACGACCACTGAACTGGCGGTACGTGCCCAGGATGAGAAGCTTGTAAGAAGTTAAATCTTTCCAGCGGTGCGGAAAATACGACGTCAGAATCAGCGTAAAAATTGTAAAGGCTTCGGAGCAGGTCACGATATCCTCGATGCGTCGGCGTTGCTTTTTAGCGCTTGGCAAAAACACTAACCGCCCGTCCAGGAATGCTTGCGATTCCAGCTCAGTCTGAACAATACTGACTGACAGCAAATCCCCCAAATCCACGTACTTGCCGGCAACAATTTGGCTAACCGTTTTCGCCGGAATTGGTGAAAAACCGGGGCCAACTACAAACGGCTGTTGTAGTACCGGTCCCGATGGAAGGTTTGCAGCCAAGGTGCTGTCGCTGAGTGGCACCGGGACAGAAGCGCCCGCCGTGATCCACGTGCTTAAAATCGGCGAGCGCGGGGTTGCAAAAGTGACAACGAAGGATGGTACAGTAAAATTAGGCCTACCTTGCGTGGCTGAAGGTGAAGATATCGCCTGTTGCTCCGGAAAGGCGCCTCCAGAAGCTAAAAAGGTAGCCGTTTGCTGCGACAAGCTGGACGATGGGGCGGTAACGCCCCCAGAAGCGGCTTGTAGCTCCACGCTATCAGAATTTCCACGCAAATTGCTCGAGCTAGAACCAGGACCTTTTGCTGCCGCTAACGACGCCTTCACGGCATCGACGATTGCAGCGATTAGAGCGGGATCGTGGACACCAGCAGCAAGAACTGGAGCGGAAACTGTTGAAGATGTTTGTGGCGCCGAGTTTGCCGAAGAAGCGAGCGACGAAGGACCAGACGACTCGGCCTGCAAAAGGGTATCCGATGACGAGTTCTCCCCATCCAAACGAGCAGCCAAGCTATTGTTGGTTCGACGAGCAGTCATTGTACAAGCAGAAAACAGCAAGCAAGCAAAACCAAAGCACAAACTGGCACGCAAACAGCAAGCAATTGCAACAGCACTTTGCGAAGAACTGCAAGCAAGCAACTGCGTATATAAGTCACGAGGTGCCCCTGCTAGAGGCATCGGGCCACCCCTACTATAGCTGGGGAAACAGCTGACCAGCATTGCTTCGAGGTTAACTTTGCCTAAATTTCATTTAGCCACATTAAAGAGGTCTATTGTGTACATCAATACACAGAAGAGAACCCAAAGTCTTTAAGTACCACCATCTGCAGCTGTACAATGTTTTAAAGTGACGCAGCCTGTCTGAACTTATTGATCTTCTAAGGGAACATGAAAGTAATGTTCACCAACTCTCACAACCAACCAGAACCCTCACAACTACCATAAACATTTTATTACTTATTTACAGAAGTTCTTGTTGATCCTGCTGTTACTGCCAGGTTAGCAGACATAAAGGTAAATAGCAGAGACAGGAAAATGTTTTCTGTCTGCAGGTCCTATGAATTCATAAGCAATGGCCTGAGTCAGACTTAAGCTTTTCATTCCATCATGGATGTGTATGTTAATAAATTTTCTATCCGGGGAGAGGATTAAGTAACTCTTTCTTCGATAATTCCTAGATAGTTTATGTGTAGTTTTTCCTACCCTTTTCTATTCTTCAACTTATGAAATTGACACCCTTTTATATACTGCCAGCCTGAAAAAAACGTACAGTCAAACCCTGTTATTATGGACACTGAGGAGGCCATAAATAGTGTCCGTCTAAACGGAGTGTCCATATTAAGAGAGTTCAATTTAGAGAAAATGTGAGGACTTGCAGGGAAATGTCTGTAATAACGAGGTGTCCATATTAAGCGGGTGTCCGTAAAGGGGGGTTCGACTGTACCCCTTTCGGGTGGAGCATTCCCTGATAGTCTCTTGTAGATAAGCAGGCTAGATGCAAGAGACAGAAAATGAATAGCCTTTTTTAATTTAACTTGCTATGGGCAGCAGGTGAAGTCAAGGCATTGGACACTTTCTTTACCCCTTTTCCTACCAGTCTATAACCCGGCGACCTTGTATTACGAATTATTCCATTACCCAGATTTATCATAGTACATTATATTATTGTAAAGAGGTTTGAATGCATAAAAACGACAGAAATTCCTGGTATACTTAAATTCGAAGGATCCGTAAGAATGAAACAGCTGTCCAGTTTGGTGGTCATATGCCTATACACGTATGTTACACTATTTAAGCCCCAATATCCGAATACAAATTCTCAAGACTGATCTGCAGACATTTCCTTAATGAATAAGTTCAGAGAATTTGTTTGAAGATCAAAGCGTTTTCCATGAAGTGATTACTTTATTTAGTAAAATCCAAGTAGTGGTCTATTATCAATGCTGCGTTCTGATTGGTTGAGCTACTACTAGGCTATAAGTTATAGCCCATTAGTAGCGAAGAGCGTCGACTTTGAAAACGAAAACAGTGGCGGCTGAATCGCGTTTTGCTAGCTAAAGTTGTTTTGTCTCGATATTTTTGACCAAATAGTTGGATTTTACTTAAACAATTATTCCTCTCGCCCTCGTGACCTCTGAATCAATAGCCCATTCGGCCTTCAGCCTCATGGGCTATTGACTCAGAGCCCATTCGGGCTCGAGGAGTAATTGTTAAATATTCTCACAACATGTTCTTTTGATGATGTATTGATATTGTTAGAAAAAAAATTGATTTTCGTCACTCTCGGGACCTAAATGGTTAAAGGAAAAGAGGCGTCTCCATCTGCTCTCCATGGCCCTTTGTTTGCTGACCCCATTTTAAAGAGATTTTGAAAACAATTGCTCGTGATCTGGACCCTTCCAGGTTTTTTTCAACTTTTTACATGGACCAGTTAGTAAAAATCCCTTGACACTGCTAAAACGAGAAAAATGAAAAATAGTAAAATTTGCAAGTTAGGGAGATTTGTTGAAAAAGAGCGAAGATGTTCTCCGCAAAGTCGCAAAATTTTGCAGACGTTTTTATGGTGGGGGCAATAATTTTGCGTCTCCTTTTTTTTCTCGCTCGCGTTCGACGTATCACTTTCAAACTTTGTAAGTTTACTAATGTTAAGGGACTCTTCCTAGCTGCTTTTCAACGGATTTTCGACAAATGATCGGATCCCATCAGAACTTGAACTAACCCTTGGAAGGGTCTATTCCAGAATCAGTTGCGTGCGTATGTGTGTTGGCATGGGGATGGGTTTGGGAAAGGAACTCCCACCTTTCGGATATTCGGTTAGTCAGCAATACAATGGAATCCCTAATTTTCAAATACCCGATTTTTCGAACCATGTCTAAATAGAAATGGTGTATAGGTTGACATGCAAGAGTGCTAGAATTAACATTGTTTTCTGCAGCTTTCTTGGTTGTTATAGGATAATACGATTGTAAAACAGGTGTGATCCGATGCCACCTTTAATTCTTTTTTGAACTCCCGAGTTTTCGAACCAATTCCCACTTCTCTTGGAGGTTCGAAAATCTGGATTCCACCGTACTTCAATGCGGTTCCAAAGCGCGTTTTGGGTCAGAGGTCCAGATTTAAACCATTTCGTTGTGTCTTGATATGTTTTCCTTAGGGAGACTCCTTAATAGAGGCTATAGTACTAGGGACGAATTTTTCTTTAAGAACTATAATCCTGATTGTTAGCCTGTGAGGCGAGGAGGCGGATGTACAGTTGTGCATAGACCATGCTTTCTGGGTTCGGCTGAAGTTGGAAAGGCTACTACTTTTTACGTTCCCCTCTGCCCCCACCCCGCCCCCTGGCTCAATGTTGGACAAAACTAAAGTGTTTGTGCGCGTAATTGTTCTAATTCTATCCCAGCTGATTGAAGAGTAATGATCCCACCAGCTGTGCAGGCAAATTTTCACCCCTAGAGGTATCAACCAAAGTAACGGGCACTGACATTTATTAAAAGCAAATGACATACTCATACA